AGACAGTAGCATAATAATACAACAAATAATTAACGCGTTTGGAAGGTTCATCGAACATAATCAAGACAAAACTTCCACATCCGAAAAATCATGGGTATACAAACTCAACTGTGAATCTTGTCCTAAGATATATCGGTCAGACAGGTTGTACGTTTGATCAATGCATTCATGAACATAAGATGCAATAAAGGTAAAAATGAGGGGGAAAGAAATTGAAAAATCACATGGGATGTGGTTCAAAAGGTGGAAAATAGTACTCGGGGTTCTTGGAGTACCTTGGATACCGTTTCTGAGATTGGTTTCCACTTATGCACCCCCCCAGAAGGTGGAAAATGGGGGGGGAGGCTGGGGTTGGAGGTGAATCGGGGAAAAATTGTGCTCGGGGGTTTTCGAGATCACTTATCTCATTTCCGGGACCTGTTTTCACTCATGCCCCCCATAGGAGTGAATATACCATGTGAATGATAACCATCCCACGTTAATGTTTGATGTTCACTCCTTCTTCCTCCCATTTCCACCCTCAGCAGGTGACACAAGTGGAAACATACCCCAAAATCTTGTCCTATTAGTCACTCCTAGAGGAGTATGATTCAGATTATCGCGCGTCTTTGAATTATTGGTGTTTCTCGTCTAATATTATCATCAACCTCATAAATGCCAGCCATTGTTCTTGCAATAGATATATTCATGCGAACAAAGCAATTTAGATCATTTTCACCTCCCACAATGGTAGTTCAAGTTTTCCCAATAACCAATCAGCCAAAGTACATCTTTGAGATAATCTATGGTGAAAGTCCATGGTATCTCAAAGTGGAGTGGATAGATTAATAATCAAAACACACTAAGTCATCTCCAAAAATGTATTTAGAACATGTTCAGACACTGATTATTCAGTTAATAAATTTGTGGAGATGACTTAGTGTGTCTTGATCATGAGTACATCTTTAAGAGTCTCTAAGAAGTATATACCACCACGTGAGTCCGTCTTTGATACGTATATTTTAGGTCTTTTTGGTCCATGTTCTTGAAATAATCTTTCTAATTACAGAAGAATCACATTTTCTTCGTTGATTTTCACCTGTTTATTGAAGATTGAAACTAGTGCAAACAAGCGGAAAGAAAGTAGAAAAGACAACCCGCCTGTTATCTGACAGCCGGTTTTAGTTATAAGGACGTTCATATTATATTTTCTCGAACACATCAAGCTCCTCATTCGTGAATTTCGGCTTCAAATACCATGATATATAAATAATTCATTTAATCTCTGGGTAACACCACATATTCCCGAATCTGTTCATCAATTGAAATTCAATTCTCGAATTTCTCAAAAGTATTCAATATCATCATTATTATTCTTGCGTTTGGCATTCTGACTGTTTAATGTAATATAGTACCACGTTCTGTTTATATTGATTTTACAAAATAAGTAATAAATGTACATATGGGTACCAAATGATATGTATAAACCAAAAAAGGACAATACTTTATCGGATTCAGATTGAATTCAATTCTTAATACATATACCTCTGTTATAACGGTTTGTTTCTTCATACGTTCAATTTCATTTTTTTTGTATTTAAACTTTTTGTTTCTGTTTTTATATACTCAAATCTTAAAAGTACTTATGTACCTGTATTCTGTCATATATGTTAGTATTCTTGAATTGAGAATTAGAAATATGATTACTTTTGTATGAGAATGATCGTTTTGTTTGTAGTGATTCACGCACGAGACCAACGAGACGAAACTTTCATAAAGTCTCGTCTCGTCTCGCTGATGAAATATGAAGTATTGTCTCGAGTCTCGTCTCGCAGTCACGAGTCTCGTTTTGTCTCGCGTCTCGTACGAGAGTCTCGCATATCTATCGCAATTTCGTCATGCATATAATCTTGTTCCAGTCTAGTACGGGATATTCACCTTTACCTATTTTTTAGGTATAATGTAGAAGTTGGAAGAGAAAATTAAAACAAAAATAACATTATTCAATGAAAAGTAAGTACCTAATAGGTATACAATACATATACTCACATCATAAATCTAAACGAGGAAAAAAAACATAGCATTATATATTCGAAAGTTATAAAAATAAAATGAGAAGTAACACGTATATTCTAAACAAATAAACAAAACAAAAACTTGAATCCAACATTACTTTACTTATTTTAAGATATAGGTATTTAAGATAAAAACCTTCATCAGTCAGATTAGTCTTAACGATCGCAAATGTTTTTGTTTCTTACCCAGTCGTTGAGACATGAAGTTATTCTTTATCTTAGACTATTTAGTGCAGAATGACTCACTTATAGATTTTCAGGTCATTCAATTTGCGATCTGTCGTTATTGCAGAATTGCCTTTATATTCCGCCGCCGTAAGAGAGAGAATAGTCCGTTTTCGTTACACGCATTACGACGTTTTACAACAATCATGGATTGTGTTTTTGAAGTATTTTTCTACTCACATAACTAAAATGGCATTTAGCGTACGGATATGTACCACGCTAAATGATCGATTAGTCACGGATTGTCGATCTGTGATTTACTCAAAATATTAAACACGTTACCATGGCAACACGATTTCTTAAACACATTACCATGGCAACGCAGTTCATTAAACACAGCTTCACTGATTTGAGACATGTCTGGCCTGTTAATTGTATCAACTGTCAACTGTTATTTTCGAATTTTGTATCAGAATTATTCAAACAATATTCGTTTGTATCAGAATTCTTCATAAAAAATATATGCGAAAAGTTGACGAATGTGAAATCGAAGAGAATGTTTTGGTACTTGCATATCTCCAAGAAGTGTAAAAATGAAGCATCCATCTTTGAGAACACTTTATTTATTCTGCGCTAGGCATGACAATAAACGTGAAACAAAGGTTAGTAATAATGGACTGGACACATCTACAACCAATATCACTTATACGTGTCTCGCTGGTTGCATGCAGTTGTATGTATTATGTTCTCAATTCCCATTCCTTTCGAATTATTTTGTAGGTTAGCAGGAATTGCAGGTATGTTAATGTGATTTTCGGAGTTCGTAGAAAAATCATAGTATGTAACGCGTTCATAAACTCTTCTAGACACTCGTTTATTAAACACTCGCTCCGCTCTGCTCCGCTCGTGATTAAACTACTCGTTACTAAAAGGACGTTTATAACACTTGTTACATAATATACTATCATGAATGAAATGTTTTGTCTATCTGTGCTGAATAGTCTGAAATATTTCTAAATATGTTGAATTATGAATGGAATTCTCAAGTCTGAAGTCAGAAATATCTACTTGAGAGACTCTCGCACGATACACGAGAAGTCTTGCATGAGACTCGAGACAAGACCAATAAGAGTCTCGTCACGTGTTGTCCGAGTCTCGTCTCGAGTCTTGTCTCAAAAACGAGACGAGACGAGACCATGCGAGACTCGAAAACGTGACTCTCGCGGGCACCACTATTTGTTTGTTTCTATTCCGTTAAAAATGTGTACTTTTTTGTTTACTAAAAGTACATAATGTTCTGACGTCATAGGTTTATTTCATTATCCCTTCGTGGAATTCATATAGCAGAAAAAAGATCTTGAATATATCTATTGAAATCTACTGAATTTTTGACGAGTTATTAACTGATGGAATAAAAATAGAACTGGCAACCCTGATATGCGCTGAGAGTGATATGACAACAACTGTCATTTGGTATTGTCAAATTAATTATTCACAAAAACCGATAAATTTCACATGTGAATCGGACCGTGATGAGGAGTAAGTGAGGTCGACGAAGATATGTAATATGCACCTTGACAAAAAACTGTCTTGCCTGATTGCTAGCCCCAGCTGTCAATTTGTAGACTCGACTATAATAGACAGTGTTTTGTCCTTGACACATAATAGTTATTTATGTATCAAGGGCGTAAAATAGGCTTTTATGGACAGCAGCGTGTATATAAGTAATAGACCGAGCGATGGCGAGGGCTATTAACACGCCTAGGTCCATAAAAGCTAGTTACGCCCGAAATACATACAACATTTTATGCACGACCTGTATATATTTGATATCTCATGTAGGTATCTCTTCACCCCTCAAGCACAATAAAAATACATCACGGTTGCAGTGAGACTGTATTGTATCCATATCGAAAATACTATTAATCAAGAAGTACGGATTCAACGTTACCATGGCAACTCAGTCAATTCTTCGAAATAGGAATTAATAGGCCAGTAGCCATATTAACTGTCAATTTGTGTAATCATGCATAATTCATTAGTGATTTCAAAATGAATTCTAGTAATGAAGAAAGTGTGAATTGTACTCCACCAGAAATTAGTGAGGCAGCTGAGGAAGCAAAATCGAGTTTATTGCCAAGTTAATAAAAAAAAATATACGACAAAGTATACGAAGAATTCGTAAGCTGGTGCATAGGCTGGTGCGACAGAAATGATGTAAAAAATAAGAACTACACTGAAAGTGTGCTTCTTGCCTATATTCTGAAAAAATCAAAATCTCGTAAGCCCTCTTCCATGTGGTCATATTATTCCATGTTGAAAGCTACTTCAAATGTACATGATGATAGAGATATTAGTAAATATGCAAGATTGATAGCTTTTCTGAAAAGAAAAGCTGACGGTTATAAACCAAAGAAATCGAAGATTCTAAGCAGAGAAGAAATAGAGTTATTCTTGAGTGAAGCACCAGACGATTCGTACCATATGATGAAAGTAAGTACTATTTTCATGCTTTCTTAATGTCAAGTATGATAATTTGAAACTTTGTTGTAGGTAGCACTGATTTTTGGTATTTGTGGAGCATTAATTGAAACCATTGGAATTTAGATTTCTATCGATATGACAGTGACATTAGCTTTACCACCAGCTCAATGACTTTATCGCCCGCCGGGCGGTAAAGAAGTCCGCGGGCGGTAAAGTGCCACTTTACGCCTGCGAACCCGGGCGGTAAAGTGCTATTTTACACCCGGTCGTGCATAAAGAACTATATCGAACACTTACCGTTCAACTTGAATGGCAAACTGCCAGTGAGAGGATCAGGTACGAACGGTCTGTGTCCGAACGGGAAATGATGGAAACCTTGCTGTCTCGTCTTCGATCTCGGTTCTCTCGGTCCGTCCACGGTCACTTTGATCGCCTTGCTGAGGGTGGCCACTTGGGGAGGCGACGTCGATACGATGATCGTCAGCGTGAAACTTTTGCCTAGAAACCAGAAAAAAGTGGTTCGTATTGAATCAAATACAAATACACTGTGCTCAATATTTCATTCGAAGCAGATTTCAGAGTGGATGACTATTTCATCAACTTGAATTTGGGTAACGAAAGAAAATGGGACTTATTGATGTAGAATAATTGTACAAATGTTAGGATGAATAAAATGTAGAGTTTAAATGTGAAAATGTACTATTTTGTATGTATTTGATGAATGAAGAGGAAATGTCAGAAAAAGTGAAGGGAGCGTAATAATATACCTATAATACTAGCTGACCCGGCAAACGTTGTTTTCCGAGATATTTTCAAAAAATATATTTATATTCTTCCCCTTTAACAATCTCTCAGAACAAGGTGTCCTTTTGGGTAAAATCATCTGTTTTGTCCTTTTTTTTTTCATCGAGGTGGTTGAAATCCTTCATGGACACCATATGGGTCCAATCTCCCATATGATAGTGTGGGAGTCCCCTGACTCCTGGTATACCCACTAAACATTCCACCCCGTTTGTAGGCTCGTCTGACCGGAGTCTCCGACGACACTTAGGCCTAGTGGCCCATCGTATCTTACCTACATGCCGTTATCAATTTTACCATATACGACTCATGGTGCTTATTCAGGGCCACTTCAATATGAAAGACCCTTTTCGTTCAGGTTCCTGAAGATTGCTCTTCCCTGTTCTCGTCTACGAAGAAGGCCAAAAGTTTTCCTTCTCCTACGAGTGACGGGGGAAGGGGTTGGTCCAGCCCTGTGGTGCCCCCTGCACAGGGCTAAGGCTACTTACTCCGAGATGTCGCCCTACTTCCCAGAGGCGCCGTTAGCGACACCATAACTCGGTGCCATTCATCCATCACCACGCGTTCCCACAGCTTGGATTAGGTTGCCAGAGCCTCGTTGACCAGTCCTCGGCCACCTAGACAGAGATCTGCAAATCGCCCCATCCCTGCCACAGATGTTCACAAATTGTCCCATCTGGACCGGAGATAGCAAAGATGGTCCCAAAATGTTTCATCCGTCGAGCGGCCGCGGTCTGTCCTCCCCACACCACTTGATGGTGAGGTTGGGCTTGAAGGGGAGGAGGAAAAGAGAAGTTGGCCAAGAAAGGCCGATAGATAGATTGGAAAAGGAACAGGTAAGAGGATATCACCCAAGACAAGTTGAAGTATGGTGAATATCCGGATAGGGTACCTCGGGTTCACCATTCCCGTACTCACAAATTGTGAGTCCCTGAGGGGTGTTTTGTCCTTACCGCAAGTACTTATATATTGAGATAATACAAATACTATAGAGATGATGAGAGAAAATCCCGAAAGACTAGAGAAATGAATATCATGGTTATTGACAATTCTTTGAAATAAATTATGAAATGAATCCTCAGGGATCAAGAATAATGGAATATGATGTCTGTTGGATATTTATTCTGTTTGTCCAAAAAGTTATACTTAATTCGAAACGATCATAATTTCTTCTTTCGATATCAATCGATTGAAATACGGCTGAGGTTCGGTTTCTCGGGCGTAATTCAATAGCCTGCCAGGACATTTGTCAAAAATGTCATTGGCAGACCCTTTCCATGGGGAATTAAATCGGAATTCGTTAAAACTGGAAAGAGTATTCGCTTAACTGCAATATCATCATATTTTCAAGAAAACAGGACAGGAATATTTATCAGCTGTTATACGATATTGTATACAGGGTGACATTGAAATGAGTACAAATATTCCAAACCCTGAGAAAGTATGAGGTATACTATCAAATGATACAAATAAAAAAATTTAGGGATAGAAATAGAATTTGTGGTGAGATTTCGTTCTCCACCCAAAGTTTTATATACTTTAGCAATTCTGACGTCACCTGAAAATATGTCTGTGAGGAAAGCACATTCACGCAGAGTGCAATCATTTAAATTGCCTTGAAGTGGCGTACTCGATTTTTTTTTCGATTTTCATTCAATTACAGAGATGAAATTTTTCGTTGATCAAAAGAATTAGAAGAAATCTGATATCATGGGAATATTCATTAGGCAGTATTGATGTACTGAATATATTTACTCATTATCTAGTCTCTATCTTCTAGTTTGTGGTTGTTATGGAAAAATAAAGGGTTTTAGAGAAAGGTATGGATCAAGGAAACATAACCTGAGAATCAAAAACAATGCTCAGCCCGAATCTCCAAAGTTTGTATTCATTGAAAATATCCCGTTCATAGGTTTTGATACTTTTGATAGGTTTATTGGGTCCGAACTTTTCAACCGCCGGTATCGTAGTAGTAGCCCAGATACCACAAATACCTTTTGAGGCCCTTCTGAGGCGTTCGCAATAATGTCCTCAGGACGTCGAGGGCGAGCCTGACGACGTCCCTAGACCGTCCTCCTGTTACCGTTCTCTACATCCTAATAACGTCTTAGAACATCCCTATAAGGTCTTCTGGGACATGTATAGGACGTTATGGGAACATATTTAGGTAGTATTCAAAAATGTCTAGGGATAGGTTGATAAAAATGAAATTTTATTGAAAAAATATGGATATCATGATATTTGAGAAATTTCCCTGGAATATAATGAAATGTTCAGATAAAAAACTTACATTCTATCATTTATAACTCATTGTGAAGATTTTCGAGTTTCGTTTTGAAAAAATGTATCTCAGCTTCTTGTTGAGCACTACTAAAAGTTATTGCCGATTGGCAATACTTCTCTATGTTGTTTTTGATTTCTCAACTCTGGATATGCTTCCCAATGCTGAATCTACTGAAAGTTGATGCCTTCATACAATTTTTTATAGATGACATCAAGTTTGTGTTCTCCATAATCTGAAACAAACAATGATTCAATATCTCATATCCATGTAATATCTATGATTTGATCCACCTACCTCTGTTCCTTTCTTCCTCAGAGAAAACTCATCATCAACAATAAATACATTTTGATGATTTTTGCTTTGTTCGACTTCTGTTGTAAGTTCTCTTCTTGTTATCATTTGTGATTTCTGAACCCTGGACATACTTTCTGATGCTCAATTTACTGAAAGTTCAAGCCTGCATACAATCTTTTATAGATTCCACAGAAGCCAAAATATCTTTGGTTTGAACACCTCTGCTCTGATGATAGCATCAAAAGTTTGTGTTCCTAATAACCTCCTGAAATGAATAATGTATTGATATTTCATGTCCAGTACCTACCTATACTATCAATGTTTTGATTTAGGTACCTACCTACCTTCTTTGAGTCTACTGAGAGTTCAAGACTACATACAATCTTTTATAGATTCCGAAGAAGCCAAAATTTCTTGGAATGAAACATCTCTGCTCTGATAATATGATATTATCAAGTTTGTGTTCTCAATAACTTCCTGAAACAAATAATTTATCAATATTTTATGTCAAGTAGGTATACCTACTATCAATATGATTTGATTCCTACCTAGTACCTTTATTGTATTTATACTGAGATTGCGAAGAAGCCTAAATATGTTCGAATATCAAACATCTCTGATCTGATGATATAATGATCAAGGTTGTGCTCTCATCAATAACCTCCTGGAACAAATAATAATGTATTAATATTTCATGTCCAGTACCTATTATCAATGAGTTGATTCAGGTAGGTACCTATCTTCATCGAATCCACTGAAAGTTCAAGGCTTCATACAATGTTTGATAGATTTTGAAGAAGCCAAAATATATTGGAATGAAACATCTCTGCTCTGATGATTTCATCAAGTTTCAATAACCTCCTGAAATAAAATAATATATTCAATATTTCATGTCCAGTACCTACTATCAATTATTTGATTAATTAATTACCTGTATTTCTTTTCATCTGATCAATTTCTTGGAGAAATATTATCATGAGACATAACCTCACTTCTAGAATTTCTAGTTCTTCTTCTTCTTCCTTTTGGCTTCGTGGACACGTTATTTCAGGGAATGTCATCTGAAGACATCCGTAGGCACGAAATCCGCTGCAGCCTCAGGCTGTCACTGAAATAACTTTTTTAGGACAGTTACGGCACTAAATCTACGCCTGATGATGATCTTAGGTTGTAGAAAATATAACGTCCTCTCTAGGCATTTGGCGACACATTGAGGATGACCCTAGGCGATTGTGTGTTATCTGGGAGCGTATTAGAAGTAGGTGATAAGATGATTCTTTTTATCCTATGCCCAGGTGGGCCTCCAAATTCGGACAGTGAAGAAGATGTATGTTGCCAGATCTTCAGAAAAGTCTTAGAATGAGTAGAGTAGAGTAGAGTAGTTTATTTGACCATGTTATGTAAATTACATGTACGGCAAGTCATAATTACAATAGCCATTGTGCTTGAAAATAAAGATAATCTTCACCCTCAATCACTAAAGTGCAGAAATAGATGAATTAAAATACAAAAATACATGATTAAAAATAGATGATAAGTATGTTAAAGATGGAACATCAAATGATCTGAATAAAATATATGAAACAAAAAACATTTAGAATTGAAATTAAAAAATATTAAAATAACAATGTCCTGAATGTATTTCAAAGATGATGATTGAAAATTCTCATATCAAGATTACTTGTGATAAATATAGTGGAGTGAATTATAGACATGGAAATGTCATGTTTTCCGAGCAATAGTTGAATAAGTGGCATTTCAGTATATTAGGGTGATCTAATTTTCATTTTCGAAACAGCAAAGTAAGTGATATATCTTCGATGAAAATTGAGGACAAGTCATTCGTTGAAGATCTATAGGAAGTTGGGTAGGCGCGATCATAGGGATCATCCTCAAAAATCTGCCAAAATTTCACGATAAACGGATATATATTTTGAATGAACCATCAACTGCTTCATGAACGTATGTATAATATGAAATCAAAAATTGTCGTTATTTTCAAGACAACTTAAAACTGAGCTCAGAGGAAGAATGCCAGAGGGGAAGATAGGCTCTTCCAAATATACATCCCGAGATCTTCCTTAACGCCTTGAAATCAATCAATAGATTCTCCAAAACC